TTTTTCTTTTTTTTTCCCGGGGGGGGGTGTTTTTTTTTGGGCCTTTCCCTCCCCCCTATTTGGGGGTTTGGGGGGCTTCCTGGCTTTGAAGTCCCGGTGGAAGCCCCAGACCCCCCCACGCCCCCCCCGGGGGGAGATTAGAAACCCTTCCCCCACCCCCAGGAGTTAACCCTTCCCCCCCCGCCCCCCGGTTAACTGGGGCGGCCCCCGGGCCGGGGGGCAAAAAAACGGGGGCCGGGCGGGGGGTTGGCCCCCGGCGTTTGCTTAGGGGGGCAGGGAAGGGCCCAATTCCCAGCCCTTTTTTCCCTTTGGTTTCTTCGCTGGGCCTTGGGAAAAAAAGAGGGTGGCCCCCAAAAAGCCCCGGTTTTGGCCCAAAAATTTAATATTTTTGGGGTCCTTTAGGGCCTTTCAATTGGGGGGGGGGGGGGGTGCGAATTCCCCGGTTTTTTTTCCCCCCCCCCCCCCCCCCCGCTACCGACATTTTCCACTACCCCCCCTTTTCTGCATCCCAATTCCTCACCTATGACGATAGCGTTCTTGCTCCCCGAAGCCGGCACGAAGAACATCATGGTCTTGTACGCGTAAGCCAGGGGCACGGGCGTCTGCAGGCGGAAGTCCATGGCCCTCAGCAGCAGGAGGCCCACCCAGCTGTGGCCAAGCGCGTCGCCGATGAGCGCGGTCGCCCTCAACAGCCTGCACACTCCGCGCCGGGCACAAACAATAACGGAGATATCGATATGGTGCGCCAAAGAACAGCGTGTGTTGCGACCGCCATTGTGGCCGGCACCAGCGCTTACAACGGCTAAATGTCCAGCATGTAGAGACGGCAAATATCCACAACCTCCAACGACGCTGGAGTTGTTGCGGGGTTTGTGGCGATCATCCAAGCCGCGCGTCGACAAACGAAGGGAGGGCCACAACTGCAACAAGAGCAACTGACTGCACATAGCATGAAACCCGGTGGTTCTGAAAAACGCTTCTCAATAAAAGCCCGATAACGAGGACCCAGCACAATCTAGACGCCTCGCAACAGCGCAACAAAGCTTGGATTCATGAAAAACAGAAACAAAAGGGGTTTGATGTGATTCATAGATTGACGGCTCACCAGAAGTTGGGGAACATCCGAGGGGCCAGCACGATGAACACTCCCACGTTCCACAGCACGCAAGAGAAGAGCACCAGCAGGAAGGCGGCGTTGAACTTGTTGGGGATGCTCGCAAACCCGATGCTGTCATCGTCACGTAGTAAAAAAAAAAAAAAAGTACGCAGGCCAGTCAAAACCAATCGATTCGGGGTGTGACCAGTCGACGGACAAAACTAATACAATCCTGAACGCCTTCATCAACACGGCATTGGGACAGAGGCATTTGCTTGATTGGCATTGGCATGTCATATTTTATTGCATTCCCAAAACTGAAAAATCAAAAATACCCCAAAACAAAACACACAAATGTCTACAGCGAAACTATGATAAAATCTTGCGACGTGTTCTTTCGTGAGAAGATAGCACGCACCTCTGCCGGGGTGGTCTCAAATCAATTTATAGGAAACATCTGCTGTCGAGCCCCGTAACACATCGATCGGCACGTCATACCACACCGATCCTAACCATGTCATGAGACACGCGCACCTGCTGATTGCGGCGGTGGTCATGAGGTCGAGGCACAGGCCGCTGAGCCTGAAGAACCACTCGCTGTGGTACCGGAACGGGCTTGTCCGGCGGATGAAGCACATGAACAGAAGAGCGGCACACATGCTCAGCTGGAACAGCCGGAAGCCTGAAAAACACACACACACAAGAGGCAAGGGGCGGGAGCGAGAGAGCGTGCGATGCCTCGATGGGTTTGATTCGAGGGGTTCGGCCGAAGGAAAGGCACTCACGAAAACACGCCGCGACCGCAAGAACATGACCAACCGCGCTGGTGTTCTTTCCTGTATGCGTCGGCTGTGTGTGTCCACACCCACCAATACCTAAGGGTACGCACTAGCGTCTAGCATACATTGCACCACAGGGACACACAAGAGTGACCAAATCAGCCAAGCAGAGGAAACGAATAGGAAAGCACATCTCCCGACTCAACCACCGCAGCAAGGACCTGCCTGTTACAACAGTGCGCAACACCCCTAAACAGCTCGTTTCCACCTCGCCGCAGCCATCCCGTGCACACGAAAACAACAACAACAACGACCACAACCATTCCAGCACCACCAACACCACCACCACCACCAACAACAACAACAACGACAACAACCAACTCTCTAAAACGACAAACCGACCCACTCACCCGAAATAATGTGGTGCTTGGCCGTGTACTCAACACGGTTCTCCAGGAAGCGGATGAACAGGTCAACCAGCCAGGCCGCGCCCACCGACACGGCCGGCAGCAGCAGGTGCGCCCCGAGCCCCGCCCGATGAATCCCAAGCGTGGGGCCCCTGTCCCGGCCCGCCACCGACGCCTCCGGCGTGCCCGCCTCCAGCAAGCTGCCGGCGATGCCGGCGCCGCGAAGAGCCGGGCGGGATCGAGGGGACAGGGAACGCGAGCGGTGGTTGTTGCTGCCGGCGTCGCTGCTGCCGAGGTTTGCGTCATCGAAGCCGGGCAAGCCGCCGCCTAGGCCGCGCCCTGCGGTGCCGGCGGCGGCTGTGCCGCCGAGCCCCTGCCGGCCCCGATCAGGCGACGCCCTGGCCGTGGTGTTTCCGCGCAGGTTGAAATATTTGTGCAGAGAGGTCGGGTGTTGAGATGGCGGGAGCGGCGGGAGAGAGAGAGAGCACATGGGCAGGGTTGTGGATGTTGGATGCTACAAGGGCCAGCCAGATCAAAACCAGTTGTGCGTAACAAGGCATGTGTGCCTCCGCGGGGTTGTGGACGGCACGAGAAAAAAGAGAGTTTTTCTTCGAGGGAGTAAGTAATCGCGCGCCAGCTTATCCCGAAAGTCACCTCCCCCGTGAACATGCGACACCCCCACTGAAATCGAGCTGGACAGAGGTAAGCCTGGCCGAGGCCGGCGGCGTGCGAGAACCAAGAACGCGACACAATCATACTGATTGCTGGACCCAACACCAACCCATCCGCTTCCAAGAACATGCCT